TGTGCAGGAACCTTAAGTACGAATACGGTTCTTTGGTGTGCAGAAAGTAGTGCGTTTCTCAGACAGCACACAATATTTATGATAAATATTTATTTCGAATTATTTCTTAAAAATATTATATAAATATAATATAAATATTTTATATACATGAAGGAAAAAGTATTAAAATCTTTATTGAAAATATTATTAAAATACAGACTAAATATTTTATACAATATTTATAGTAAGCGAGAAATAAATAATTTGTAGTAATATTTTGTAAATATATCTATTTACAAATATTATATATGAAAAAAATAAATATAATTATTTAAAATTATTAAATTAATGAAAAAATAAGTAATTCGAATCTCAGCAATGGTAAGCAAATTTTCAAGTACAATTTAAATTCAACTAAGTAGCGTGTAAAACAATAAAGTGGAAATTTTAAGAAAAATTCAGGAAAAAAGAAAAAAATATATAAATGTATATATTTTAATAAATATTTTTATAATATTTATGAGATAAATATTTTTTATCTATTGAATCTAAGGTTACAAAAATATTTTGTAAATATATTTGTAAATATATTTTGGTAAATATTCATAAAACATTCAAATAAATCTTATAAATATTTTGTAAATATTTTATAAATATTTTGTGCTGTCTGGGTTAATGGATGAAAAGGATAGAGAATAGTAGTAATTGATGTAATATGTTCAATAAATGTACAAAAATGTATATTAAATATAGTCGAAATATTACAATCCTAACAAAGAAAGACATAACTGCTATATAACAAAAGTAATTAATTATAAAATGTTTATACATTATAATAATAAAATATTTTTATATTACACTTATAGAAATATCATACTAAGAATCATTGATAATTACTTATTATTCAGTATTTTTAATACTGAAAATAAGTAATTATCAATGATTCTTAGTATGATATTTCTATAAGGGTATCATAGTTATAATTTTTCTTTCCAAAGTTTTATATTATTATAAAATGTTATACAATACTACAAATAAGAAACAAATATTATGTCTAACATTATTTTAACTTACTTCTTTGCAATTATAATTATGCTATTTGCATTACCCTTATAGAAATATCATACTAAGAATCATTGATAATTACTTATTATCCAGTATTTGTAATACTGAAAATAAGTAATTATCACTGATTCTTAGTATGATATTTCTATAAGGGTATATACAGATAAAAATTAATTTTATTAATATATAAAGTATATATGTATTTTTTATGCATGTGTAATAAATTACTGTAATGATAACAATCGTGACGCTTACAAAAACAGGTCATATAGGTTAATTTTATTTTAATGCAATTAACATACTCACTACTGCAAAATCGTTCATAACATTTCGATGTTACAAAATCTCTAATAACTGGCCATATTCCCCAGATAGCCAAACCTGTGCAAACAGATTTTGAACAAAACTTGCTACCAATTTTTGATGGCAAATAGATAACAAATTTGATGCAAGATCTGTTATATCAAATCTTGCTGCCAAACTGTCGCCAGCCCTTATAGAAATATCATATTAAGAATCATTGGTAATTACTTATTATCCAGTATTTTTAATACTGAAAATAAGTAATTATCAATGATTCTTAGTATGATATTTCTATAAGAGAGATATGCTACAGAGTCTGTTGTCGGGTAATTGCTGCAGATTTGCAGCAAAAACCGTACAGAATTTGTAGCAATCTGACGGGAGATTGGCGGCAGAAACCGCGCAGACTTTGCTGCGCTGCAGACTTTGCGCGGTTTTTGCTGCAAATCTGCAGCAATTGCCCGACAGCAAACTCTGTTGCAAAAACCGTAGCTGAATGAGGACACAGATGGCTATGGTTTTGGTATAAATTTTTTATCAAATTTGCTGCCAATTTGCGCGCAGTCTGCGCTCAATTTGCTTACTGGGTTCCATGTACTAAATCGATTTCAATTAATGACATTTTTTATATTATTTGATATTATTATTAGACTGCCTCTCCCTCTCTCTCTCTCTGTCTCTCTCACAATTCTTATAAAGGCAATACTGATACATTACTGATTGGGACCCGGCGTCGGACACACAATCCAATAACCAATAGAACAATTTATTTTCTAGGGACAGTACATCACTAACTAGTAATCTTAAAAAGTGCAATCTTGATGCATCTACGAAATGCATTCAGATACATCTGTTGCGAATAAAAGAACGCAACCTATATGTCGATGGTTTTTATACGTATTATATTTTACCGTATTTTTACGTATGTATTTTACCGTATAATGTGAAAAACCTTAGGAAATGCTTGAAAAACCCAACTCTGTTTTCAAATCTCTCTTTTTATCTCTTTTCTTAACCTAACTTAACCTATTGCCATAGGCGTACTGTAATTGGATCATTGAATAAAGAATACCTGGCAGGAGTATGTTGCGATATATCGCAGATAATCGATAAGATGCATTGGTTCAGTTTTATGACGTCATTTGTGACGTTCCGGAAACACAAATTTGGCGGTATACTTCAAACACGTTGGAAA